CCTGCAGGCCTCAGGGACCCGGGCTTCTGTCAGGACGTCACAAGCGCGCGGCCCCTGCGACGCGCGAACTCCGCGGCACGCGGTTGCCGGCCGGGTGCTAGAAGAGGCAGCGCTCCAGGTCAATCTTGCACTTGACGCGCTTGCCCTTGGCGCTCACCTTGAAGGCGCGCTGCAGCTGGCTCTCAAGCTCGGTGTGGGCCCCCGGAAAGGGCTTCTGGAAGACGATCATGTTGTCGATGACGCCCTGCTCCACCTCCTCCGTCCACAGCTCCAGGTTGGTCGCAAAGCACACTCCCACCCTCTTGGCCCCGTCGTCCTGGAAGTTGCCGGGCTCCCACAGCACCTCCTTGTCCACCTTGCACACCAGCGCGCCCTGATGAGTCCTCTATGGACATGAACTTTCCCCCCTTGGCATTGGTCTGAACGTCCAGCCCGAGCGCAAGCTTCATGGTTGCGAAGTTCGGCTCCTTTTTTTGTCCGTAGGAAAAATCCATAGGAAAAAAGTCCGGTCCGATGAACGCGCGAGTCTTCTTGGTCGTCGCAGTGGCGGTGATCTTGCTCTTTAAAAATGCCGAGACTCCTGGAGCTTTTCTGCGGCGCCAAGTCGGTGGGCAGGGCCTTCGAGGCGGCGGGCTGGGCCTCCCTGGACATCGTGTCGAAATTTTCTCTGCGACATCCGGAGCTGAACCCGGCCACCGGGCTGCTGAAGACCCGGCCGTTCATGGAGCGCCTGTGGACGTGACCTACTGCAAGTACGGAACTCCGTGCGGGAAGCAGACGCGGCTGTGGACCAACATGCGCTGGGGGCCGAGGCGAGGCCTGTGGCCCGGCAGCCGCTGCGGCGCGTGGCAGGACGCACCTCCGCGCCGCGCAGCGGGGGCCGCGGCTGATGGAGGGGCAGTACGAGAGGGTCAGCCAGCCACGCAAGCTGCTCTACAGCGTTCCTGCTACGCTGTGCGAGGAGATTGCGCGCGCGGCCACGGAGGAGCTTGCGGAGCGGCTGAGCATTCCGGACTGAGTCTTCGGGCTTCCTCTAATCCGAGGGGGCCTGGAAGAAGCCCATTTTTCCATGTTTTTGCTGGTTTTTTTGGGCGCTGCCACCTGTAGTCAAAAACGACTATGAAGGACAGCGGGCCTTTTTTGCTGTTTTTGTGGCGGTGCCCCTCAACTTCAAAAGCGGCGTCACTCTGCATCAAAAAATGATGCAGAGTGACACCGGGCCTTTTTTTTTTTTAGTCCAGCACAGAGACGCCCGTGCCGGAGAGCGTCACCAGCTGGTAGGCCACAGGTGGATGAACAGGTCCGTCATCGTGCCGTCCAGGCCTTGAAGGTGAACCGGGCAAGGTCAAGGTCGCCCGAGGGTGCTGACACCACTCAGCGGCATCTTGGGCACGCGCTCGGTGGGAAAGCCGGCAATGAAACAACGTCACCGTGGCGCGCGCCTTCACGAAACTCATGGGCGCGTTCGTGACTTTTTGGGACAACGACGCGGGCTCCAAGATCCACTTGCTGGCCAACCCGGGGCAGGACGTGGCCCCTGTCGGCGCGGCCAGGCAGGAGGACAGCCTCCTCCTGCTCGCGGGCACCTACGACGACACGGTGCGCAACATCGACATCGGCCGCGCGGGCAACCTGCGCCACAGCGTTCCGCCACGCCGTTCGGGACGCTGGACTGCTGCGTGTGCACCGCGGGGTAGCTGAACACCAGGGACCTTCCTGATAGGAGCACGCGGTCGAAGGACTCTACCAGCGCAGAGTCCACAAGCTACGTCACGGCGCGGCATGACGTGCAGTGCTTCCCCAGCTCGCTGAGCTCGTTCTCGCCCACATTTCATCGACCCCGAGTCCATCAAGATCGCCTTCCGCGTCAGGAACACGGACGGCACCAACCCGCTGGCCCCAGCCACGCCCAACCCCGCCTGCTTCGTCCAGCGCGTCCAGGTCTTCGCCAACGGCCAGCGCTGCTTACGGCCGCACTGTGGCCGTGCATGACCTGCTGAAGGGCAGAGAGTACAACCGCAACAAGGCCATGGTGGGTTTCGACGAAGTGAACGACCCGCGCATTGCCCGCGCGGTGCACCAGGGCGGCTACGCGGACGTGCTGCTGCGCCCCACCATGGTGGGCATCCTGTGCTGCGGCAAGATGCTGCCGCCGCAGCTGAACCTGGTGGTAGAAATTGAGTTTGCGGACGCCGCAACTGCGCTGTGGTCCGAGAACGCTGGGGCGCACCCGGCGGGGGCCAAGTCCAGGCTCTGCATCAGCTCATCCTGGCCTCCGGCGGTAACTACCTCCATGCTTGTTTATATACACGCATTTTGACTCGTACGGCGAAGGAAAACTATTCCTCCAGTCCGTACATCGTACGGACGAGAGGAATGGCGTTTTGTGGCCCAAAACCATACAAAACGAACTATTAGTCCAGTGCCGCCGGGTGGAATTGCAGCTGCACTTCGGAGCCTTCGGCGGGTAGTCAGCGGGCACGCTGGACCTGTACAGCATGCAGATCAGGGCCAGCTCGAGGGAGAGTCTGTCTCAGTAACGAACCTCGCTGGCCAGCTGTGCAAGGACGTGAACTGCACGGAATGTGTTCACCACGGGCGGCGCAGTCTCCTGCGCAGCGCTCACGGCCACTGGCACCGTCGCCGGAGGCACGCTGTCGTCCACAGGGGCCGTGTCAGGCAGCTCACTGAGCATCACCGGCGCGGCCAGCGTGGGCCTGCTGAGCTCCGCCACAGGAATCACGGGTTGACCATCAACACGGCCAACGCCGGGAACTTTACGGTGGGCGACGTGTCCACAGGGACGCTGACGACCTCGGGCGTGGCAACCGCGGCGAGCTTCGCAGCCACCGGTGCGCTCACGCACGCTGTGCTGACGATTGCCGGGGCGGCCTCCGCGGGCCTGCTGGACTGCGAGAGCCTGCCTACATTTACGTAGGCACTGGACTAATAGCATTTTTTCAGCGCAAAACCGTGCAAAAGCTGTTAGTCCAGGGTGTACATGTGTGTACGGCCTGGACTAACAGCTTTGCAGCGCAAAACCGTGCAAAACGAGCTATTAGTCTAGTCTGTAAATCCATACACGTACATCTATGTACGGACGACACTACTGTGAATGAACATACCAGAGACGTGTCTGCGGAGGTCGCAATTCATCCCCTAAAACAGTGTTGCAAAGGAAGGGCCGACGGCGTCCGCCAAAGGCGGGTCCTGGTCGCCTAGTCCCACTGTGAGTTTCACTGCTTGAGCGGATAGCGCAAATCCCAGTGACGCTGTTGTGTGTCAAGCGTCTGCCCAAGGCAGGACGTGGCAAAGCAGGCTATGGCCTGCTTGCTTTGTTGAGTATTCATTGTTAGCATTGCGAAAAGCCTGTCAGCCAAGGAAGAGACGTCGTCTCATCAGGGCTGCGGGGCGCTTGAGCGCCGCCGATCTCGAGTGGCTGATGTCGCGGCAGCAGCCATCCACGACCGCGGCGGGGCAAGACGACGCTCCGGTGGATGCGCAGCCAGCTGCTGAGCCAGGACAGGCAAGCTCCGCGACGGCAGGGCTAAGCTCGACTGCCGAGGCGGCAGGGCGAAGCCCAGCTGCAGGAGGGCAACATTCCACTGCGGACGAGGCGCAGCCAGCCGCCGAAGAAGCTCAAGTTGCCTCTGATGTCGAAGACTATCAGAACGCAGCTGAAGAAGTGGACGACACCACCAACAAATGAGGCTGCGTGTCAAGCACATTGCCTTATTCTTGCGCAAAGCTCAGCCAAGCCAAGCTAAGCTGTAGCAAAACTGTGAGCTGCTGCCTCGTGTAAAATGTGAGTCGTGTGCTGCAGGATGCCACTGGCCAGGTGTAACGCTGCAGAATGCTTTAAATAAAGAGGGGGGGTATCTTTTTTTCTCCTATTACAGCCAAAGTCTATTATGGCACACCCTCAAAACCACACCAGAACCCTGAACCACACAGCTGCCTTATAATCAGGCGTTATCCCAACATCCTTGCATGTAACCTATTGCATCATAGCCATAGGCCGAGAAGGTGTCAGTGATACTAAACTGCCACGAAAACTCTTGTGCAAAAACATGCTACCCTTAAGGTTCCTTAAGGGTAGTTTAAAAAGGGCCAAGAAGAAATCAAACGGAAGCGCCTCTTTTGACACCGAGCGGTGAGTCAGGGGCAAATCGTTGGTCAAAAGATTTTGTGACCGTGCATCTGTTGGAATCTGTTTGACCGTTCTGGCTACGTCAGTTGACGCATTCCAGCTGGTCCGATTCCACCCCCTAGTCAGGGATGGGCTGGGCGGGACAATCACCAAGTCAAACAACAAGGCAAGGAAAAAGGGGGAAACCCACCCACCACACCCTCAAGCCGAGACAACGGGAGCACAATGGTTGACATGTCACACATCGAAACGACTGACACGCCGGCACAGCAGTTGGTTGGTCAGCGTTCCTTAAAAGGAAAACATGGATGCAAAACAAAAATCAAACTGAGATCTCTGTTTCCATCACGCGTGTTTGGGCTCAGTGTTTGGTGAGGTTGGGCAGGGGTGCCAAGAATAGACCGGGTGCAAGCACCCTGTTTGGCAAAAATAGAGAGAAGGTAATGTCTGCACGCAGAAAGCCCCTTCTCCTATTACAGCCAAAGTCTATTATGGCACACCCTCAAAACCACACCAGAACCCTGAACCACACAGCTGCCTTATAATCAGGCGTTATCCCAACATCCTTGCATGTAACCTATTGCATCATAGCCATAGGCCGAGAAGGTGTCAGTGATACTAAACTGCCACGAAAACTCTTGTGCAAAAACATGCTACCCTTAAGGTTCCTTAAGGGTAGTTTAAAAAGGGCCAAGAAGAAATCAAACGGAAGCGCCTCTTTTGACACCGAGCGGTGAGTCAGGGGCAAATCGTTGGTCAAAAGATTTTGTGACCGTGCATCTGTTGGAATCTGTTTGACCGTTCTGGCTACGTCAGTTGACGCATTCCAGCTGGTCCGATTCCACCCCCTTTACATCACCAGCCGCTTCGCAAAAAGTGCCTGCGTCAACTCCTCCGGTACCGCAATTTCCTCCCAGTTTGAAATTCCTAGCAAACTACAAGCTGCTTCGGGATCACGTCTGGACGGGGCATCTGCCACGTTTGATGAGCTTGGCACGCGCTCAAACCAGCTGAAAGCGGGATGTTCCACATCCATAAGATAGAACTCACGCACTAAGCATTGCATGGTCAAGCTAGGGCTAACGCCTTTTATCAGGCTGAATCTGGCCGATTCGTTGTCAATCCAGAAGATGGTACGACGGTCCCGAATAAGGTCCCTGAACCTCCAGCGCGCCCACAAGACTGCAAATAGTTCTATCTGACAAATCAGCTGCTCACCAACCTTCACCTTCCAGTAATTGATCAGCTTTTGAGGCACACTGCCACTTAAAACCAGACGCTCATCGGTGGCAGTATCAACGACGACAACCCCGAGGCCTCCGACACCATTATCCCATGCTCCATCCGTGAATATCACAAGGGGACGCTTTTCACGTCCGATGGAAATCTCACGAGGTTTGGAAATGGAAAGGATGGACACCGCATAATCCACCAAAGACGCAACCTGTTCGGCATCATTGGAGCCCCCCATCTGGAGGAGCTCTGCGCAGACTTGATGCAGGTGACGGCCGGCAAAGAAGCCAACCGAGTATCTCATCAACCCGTGAAGGACTTGAGCCTCATGAACACTCATCTTCCCATTAGTTTTTGCGAGGCCCATCCGCTCCACCAAGCGGGCTATTCGGCCCTCCTTGTTGCCCAGAGTCACCACGCCCTCCTGCACACGAGATAGGTCCAGCTTGGCACCAAGCACGTTGAAAGAGGAAGCAAAAGGCAAACCTTTTGGTCCAGTTCTGGCATGGCGCCATCCAAGCAGGTCCAGTAGCTCGCTCGCCGACTCATCGGCATTGGAAGCGGTCTCGCAGGGTGACAGGAGCGGAAAGTCATCATAGAAAACGCCGCAAGGTATAACCAGCATTTTGTTCATGAGGAACCAGATACTGCGACTGACTCGATTGAACGCATAGACCGCAGCTGTAGCCCCGAACATGAGGGAATTCGAAATGTAAAACTTCGGATTCCCTGCAGCGTCATGGAAAAAGATCACACCATAGTGCCGGTGCGCGGGTAAGATGCCAAGCTGCTTATAGGCTTTGGATAAGTCCAAACACTTGCCCATCCACGTTCCGGATCCGTGGCGCTGTTTCCCTGCTGAGGACGCTTCTGCCACCTGAAGCGCAAGACCCGTCACATAGTCGACATCCTGCAGTTTCAAGTATGAGGTTGAAGTGTAGGCCGCGTTCATCTGCGATTCCATGCAGTCATCAATAGGCCGCAATTTCATTTCGGCTCCTTGAACCAGCACAAAACGGTGGATTAAAGACCAGTCAGTTCTGCCGAGACGTTCTGAAACTGCTACCTCGCTCAGGAAAGGACCTTCCAGAAAACCAGCATCAACTTCTTCCCGACAAGCTTCTTCAAGATGCGCAACGTGTTCCAAGTTGGGCTCACCACGCAACTTCCCCAAGATAGCCTTCCGCCTCCAGATGGCCGACCGATCAAGGTCATCGCCCGTCAGGGTTGCAACCCTGTGCTGGATGGGGTAACAAGAGGGAACATCGTGCTGCCCAACCAAAGGAACACCCTTTGCCATGAAATCATAAACTGCAAGGTCATCATACCCGTATTTGATCAAGAGCTCTTTCCACAGCAGCAGGCGCTTCCCGCCCAACACTCGCTGTAGCGGAGGGTCCAACGCCGAATGCAAAAATTGCTCTTCACTCACAAGTCGCTTGGCCATCAGCCGCGCCTGCAACAGGTTCTTCTTCCTTTCTAGCTTGACCACCTCGTCAGAGTGCTTCAACACAAAAGAGAGGGCATAGCTTGTTGGGGATTCCACGTGATGGCTTGTATCCATAGGGTGTTGAACACCCATCGCCATGGCCAAGAATTGCTTCGGTGTGTGGTAGAACCCCAACTTGACAGTATCAGCCAAAGAGCTCAAAGCAGGCGCTGCATCCTCCGCCTCACCCCCTACGTTAGGAGGCAGCTGTTTGCAGTTGTCGGGAACAGGGTCCTGGACCGAAACACGCTTGAAATGGTGGAATTCAGGGATCAAAGGCCTGTGGCGCTTAGACTGGCGGCCATGAGCGGCTGTAGACAGATCATGAAGTCGCGGCGGAGCCCGTAGCGACCTGTTTGCAGTCTCGGCTGCCTTGACCAAACAAGCAGCGACGCGTCGGGCCAGGACTCGCGGGTATACCCGTTCAGCCGCAGTGTCGAAATGCCACCGTCCCTGATGCCACGAAATCCCAAAAGGAAGGTGTTCGTGATCTTCTCGACACTCTGCACGTAAAGGTTCAAACACATGTGGAGTGGATAACCAGGTAGTGCGTTTCTTGCGTTGAGAGCCGTGGCAACAGGCATGGAAGGTAACTGGAACCAGTTGGTTGTAGAAAGACGCTTCACTAGTGGTGTGGTCCCTCAACAACAAAGCAATCAAAGCGGCCCAGAGCCAACTAGTTGCAGGGTTCTCGACACTGACAATGACATCCCTTTTGAGCGCAAAAAGCACAACATGAAGTGCTAATGCATACAAAAGGTTGGCGCTGACCACTTTTGAGGCATGGAAATTTGAAAGGCCCGGCAATCCCAGCGGGTGCGTTGCAGACCGTAGTGGAGGGGGTTGCGGCACCCCCCGATCCCGAAGCTCCTTGCTCAAGGGTCTTTCGCGGGCGCGGCTGGCAGTACCACAAGGGAGTCCCAGATGTATTGCAAATAAATTCGGCGCATGCAGAACATCCCAAAGGATGGCCTGTCCACTGGCTGTTGTCAGATCCAGTTGAACAATTGGTGCAAAAGGCGAGTCAACTTCGTGATCAATACTTAGCACCGTGAAACCAGCTTCGAGTAGGGCTCGTGAAAGGCTGGCCCTGCCTGCGAAAATCTCAACACACAACGGCGGATCCCTTGAGGAAGGTTGTGAAACTGTCTGCACCGAGAGTCAGTCAGCGTGGGTACACAAATGATATGGCTTCAGGCGGAAACATCCGGCCTTGTAACACTTGTGGAACCCGCGCGCGCATCGCTTCCCCGGTGGCCCTTTGAATTTGCATTTGCCTTGCTGCCATAGGAAACACAACGGTCTGTTCTCTTCGTCGTGGCTGACACACCCCTCCGGCAGCTGGAACTTGCTAGATGCAGCACCCCAAGCCTTGGGTTTGTTACCTTGCTTCGGCGTTGGGTTGACCTTCTGCATCTTGGCTGGCCGCTCCTGGCCCGGGACTGGCGTGGGCGGAGCTCGCAGTGCCGGTAGTGGAGTCAGATACTGCAGGACTTCCGTGGAACTCTTGAGGCTGTCAATCGCAGTGTCCAAAGGTTTGGGGTCACCAGCGTCCTCAATTTTCCCATGGTCCGATGCGATGCTAGAACGAAAAGCTGTCTGTCGCAATCAAGCACCTGCTGCAGCGTGATCTTCGAAAAACCCCTGGGCTGATCTTTGCTGAGCTGCGCAAATAAATACTGAACCCAAGTCTCCACCGTGGTAAAACTGGCAATCTCTGCTAGATCCATGGCTAAGCTTCTCCGCTGCCAAGCGGCCCGAAGCTTCAGTTCCGTGTTGGCCTCACAAGAGGCCTCGGGGCTCTTGGAACTTATCTTCAACATACCATTGGCGTCAGTGGAAATAGAAGTATCCTTCCTAACCAAAGCGACCTCGTGAGCCCGACTGCAACACTGCTCTGGCTTGATATAAGAGAGCACGCCCGTCTCGAGCATCTCGACATAGTAATCAACCAATTGGTTGGCCGGGGTTGTATCTGGATCAAAAATCACCCCCAACAACCTGGTTTGCTGATTGGCCTGCCGCGCCACCCTCTCCGCAGTGGGCAACTTCCTTGTCGATGTACCAGGGTCGGTTGTCGATTCCACCCTCGTCCGCAAATCAGATAAAGCCAAGGTGTGCGATTCAAAGAACAACCTGCGCAGCATAGCAAACTCCGAATCACTTGGCTCCCGACCGATTGCTCGCTCCAGGAAACTCTTGAAAGGCGCCTCATCTGCACTCTGCGGCGTATAGGCAGTAGCAAACGCATACGTCCCAAACGTTGCAAAACCTGCGGTTCCGAGTGCTGTGATGGTGGCCTGGTCCAGCCCAATTGCTGCTGCACGCTCTGAAAAGGCAGCTTCAGATTCCAGGGTGGCCGACGTCATGGCAAACGGTGGGTTGGTCACGCCCCAGCTTGGCTTCAGGGGAATGACACAAGGTTAGTGACCAACTCCAAAAGCCGTGAGTAAACCTGTTGTCAAGAACGGTTCAAGAAATTACAAATTTTCCCTGAAAAAGGTGGTTGACTTCCAAATTCACTGCACGCCCAAGTGCCGATTATGTTCACGCCCGCGGGTTCTGCATTCTGTGGCCTTCACAGCTGCAGGCAGAAAGCCGGGAGCACCTCCACCAATGGCTTTCAAATGTGGGCGTAACATGGATCGAAAGCGAAAGCGTAAGGGGGATCATTTAAAAATTCTTCCCCTCCTCTCCTCCCCCCCCCCACGACACCAAGACAAAGTTGAGATGCAGTGGATCCGGTTTGCTGACTGACCAGAGTGCAACTCAGCTAGGGTGCTGGCTTTCACTCTTTGCCATTCCAGCAAGATCTCAATCCGCCGACCTCTTTAAGGCCCTGAGACACTGCACACAACTTTCAAGGTTGGGGTGATCACCTTCGCAGTCAAGATAAGATGAAAAATTTGCAGAGGGCCTTCGGCCGCACAGCAGGAATCCATCTTCATTTGCAACATGGACGACACCGGAAACCCTGTGAGCCACTAGCGAGCTTGCCGCTATGGCTGCAAAGTCCCTCACTCGATGGGCCTCAAATTGGGCCAAATCAGGATGAGTTTCAGGTGGCGCGTCCAACTCCGATCCAAGGCTTGATTCGGAATCCGTCACATGAACATCAGCAGTTGGGTCTTCGACCGGAAAGCTTGTAAGTTCTTGATTTACATCCTGGGCAGTTTTCACAACACGGGACACTGACGACAAGTCAGGATCAAATGACCCGTTCCGAATCGTCTTGAACATTGCAAGCACTCTCCCATACAATGTGGTGTAAGCCTCGCGGCTGTATGTGAGAATGGATTTGGTCCCAGGTTTCATATGGTGCCCAAGCTGTCGTCGGTCTGAGTTACTGAAACGCACAATGCTCGATCTCCCCGCCCAGGTCAGAAGTGTCGTTTTGCATGAGTGGGATCCAAAGTTGCGCAACTCCTCCCGATTGACTCCCGCCTCTAGCATGTAGTCCCGCAAGAAACACGTGGCCTCGGACGAGCTCATGGGAGCTGATACCCAGTCGCCTCGATGTTCCGAAAAACTTGGCAATGCATAGTCTGTGAAACCCAGACCCTCTGAAGCTCTAGCTTCCACCCATGTTGTAGCCCAATCCTCTGCATTGAGTCCATGGCCAAGTGCCACATAGGGTAGAAAGCGGGTTTGAGATTCAGCAGTCAATGACGTCTTCGAAGACAGAGCTTCACAGTATACCAAAACCTCTCCGGAACCTTCCTCGAGAGAAATTCGCTGGACACGCTGTGAGTCACGCCATCTGCAGCAAGCATGGATACAAAACAATATCTGGCCAAGGATGCACTGATCTCTGGCAGGCAAAGATTTCATTAGCAGCTCCAAAACCATCACCTGCTTAGCAGTCAAGGGTTGTTTCTGCTGCAAAGGATCTTTCTTCAGGTACATGTCCCGCGCAACTCCGCGGCATCTCCCCGATACTGTAGTCGCCAGGTTTATCACTGCAAACTGGGCCGTACCATCCAAAAACCACAAAGATTCCAGAATATGCTGAGCTGAAGTTGCACCTGACCCACGTTCACGAAGAAGGCACAAACAATTGTACAAAACTTCTTCTGTGAACCTTAGCGGAGATTCAGCACCGCACTCCCGCACCAGTTTTGAGAAACGCCATAAGGATGATGCTCTCTTCTGCAGCGTAGACGAAGCCTTTGACCTGAAACAGTCGCTGACCGATTGCTCAATCAGATCAGGCGACGATGTGCGGTTGGCAATCTGTTGCAAACTCCGACCCAAGTGCGTTGCCTCAGCATCTAATACAAGTAAACTCCTCAGTTTGTCCAACGCTGCACGTCTGACATCTTCATCTGGAAGTTCACGCCTTGCATACTTCAGGGCTACCACAGGAACAGTGCGGGGAGCAACTTCAGGTTCCGGACAATTGCTTGTACCAAGCCGGGTGTTGAGCACGTCATGCAAACCGAGCTGAGTTGGCAAGAGGGAATTTGCACTCATTCCAAGCACTGTTCCTTGCAAACAATCGGCTGGCCCAAATACACCATTAAAATGCGCAGTTTCCCACGGCTGCTTCGGTCTGAAGATCCTGGCACGCTTTGAGGCAGCCTCTAGGGCAACAGTTTTCCACGCCGATTCAGTTCCTGCGTCTGTCATGCAAATGGTTGGTAGCGGCCGCCCCTGAGATGGCTTATAGCTCGGGCTTGGCTGAGCGTAGGACCCAGAATCGTCTCCGGCAGCCTCGTCTACGAGATCACCGGCATGTTCAGATCTCCCACAGGCATCTGACAGGTTCGATTGAGAAGCAGCACCCGAATCAACCAGTTGAAAAGAAGGGTCTGTATCGCTCGCACCTTCAACCCACCGTCTTCGGTAACCCCTCAATCCTGCCGCGTCAGTGCCAACTTCAGGTCCAAGCTCGCCGCCAGGCGACGGCACATGGTCAACCATCGCTCCAAAACACCCCCGATTCCACAATCACCAAGTCAAACAACAAGGCAAGGAAAAAGGGGGAAACCCACCCACCACACCCTCAAGCCGAGACAACGGGAGCACAATGGTTGACATGTCACACATCGAAACGACTGACACGCCGGCACAGCAGTTGGTTGGTCAGCGTTCCTTAAAAGGAAAACATGGATGCAAAACAAAAATCAAACTGAGATCTCTGTTTCCATCACGCGTGTTTGGGCTCAGTGTTTGGTGAGGTTGGGCAGGGGTGCCAAGAATAGACCGGGTGCAAGCACCCTGTTTGGCAAAAATAGAGAGAAGGTAATGTCTGCACGCAGAAAGCCCCTTTTCTATAGCATTCTGTAGCGTTACAGTTGGGTTCGCGCCCGACATCACGAACAGTTGAAACTGTAGTTGTGCATGACCGCAAGCTTTTTGGCCAGAGCAGTGAGCAGGCTACCATTTACCTGCTCCAAGCAATGGCATGCCCATTTTGCAGCATGAACATAGCGCACCGATGCCAGTGAAGCTGGGATCGCAGCGGGTGCCAGGCAGGCAGGCTGTGGCCACCGTGCGGTCCACTGCATTATGCGAGTCCGCTCAACTCAACCCAGCCGAAGTTTGTGGAGCTGGTGCAGCAAGCGCAAACGCAATGCAACTGGCTGCGCTGCTGGGCCATTGAGAACGGGCTGGCAGCTGTGCCATGCCCGGTGGCGGCTGCTGCCGCGAGCGCCCAACGGCAGAGAGTTCGCGAAGATCGGCCGCCGCAGCTGCCCGGCCAAGCGGCAGCCTCGAGCCAGGTGCCAAGTAACTTTCGTCGGCGCCTGCTGAGTATTCACGAGCCAGCGTAGACGCAGCTGCTGCTCAGCAAACCTGCGGGAGGACGGCTGAGAGCCAGACCGAAGGTCAGGCAGGTGGTGCGAACTACGATCACACATACCTAGCTGAGCGTCTACGACAGCACCAGCCTGCCTGGCAGCCGACAAATGGGTATGGCAAGGATTTTGATCCTTGGCATGCGCCAGAGCCGCGGCAGGCTCGCCCGCGTGATCTGTTTTCTTCGCCTCTGGTGTTTCCTTCGGCTCAAGGCAGGGAGCGTCCTCGTCCGCCCACGCGGCAGGCTTCTCCAGGAGCCATGCCTGCACGCATCGGAAGGCCGCTGAGGAAGTCATCTCTTTGAGCAGCTGCGGCGGTTCGAAATCAGCATTATCGAGAAAGCCGCCAAGCTTCCCAACTCCCGCGGCCTCTCCTTGTGCGCCGGCTGCGCCGGCTCAGCAGCAACCAACATCGTTTTTTTTCACGCAAACACCTGCTGAGCCCCAGCCGCCAGCCTTCGAGACAAAGGCGAAAGCCCCCTGCGTGCAGCCGACACATCTGCCAACCAAGGCGCCGCCGCCATGTGTGCTGCGGCAGATCCCACCAGGCGCCGTCATGAAGTCGCCGCCGCCCAAGCCAACTTCGGCCAGACGAGCGGATGAAAGAAGCTGCGCCCAACATGATCCGCCGGTAGGCGAGTCGTCGGATTTCGTAAATGTGACGACTAAAGATTATATGATGATCAACATGACTTCTCGGGATTTGACAGAGACGACAGCATTTTATTGCACCGCGGCTTGGCTGTGACGAGGGATGTTTTGTTTTTGGTTGTGCGAGACTAGCAGTGGCCATGTGAACCTGTAGCGACCAAGGACAATCCTCGCTACTACCGGTACGCGGTCGTCTGCCAGCAATGCCGCGAAATGGAGGTCACCAAAAATTGCATTATGGGCGACGACGACTTGGTCCATCAGGAAGACATGGTCTCCCGAGGCTGGCGCCTGGGAGACAAACGCACCGGCAGCGTTTGGGCGCGAGCGGTTTGCTCGGATTGCTTCCTCGGATTGCCAAGCCGAAGGCTAGGTCAGTAGCTCAGCCGAAGGTTGCGCCACGCGGAATAGCTAGCGGAGAATCGGTCCCGCGTGCAAATCGAGCACCGAGCCATGAAAAGAATGAGAGTTGACGGTCCGTGTGCTGTGCTTGGGCGGTGTTGTCTTTCACACGTTGTGTTTGGCAGCGGCTCGCAGGTGTTTTGGCTTTAGTTAGTTAGTTGTTTTGCTCGAAGCAAACTGCAGCATGAGCGAACATCGCGCTTTTTTTCCAGTCAGAGAGCTAAGTACCTGGGTGGGTCCGAAGTGGACCATCAAGTGCAGAGTGACCAGCCGGTCACAGCTGCGTCAGTTCCAAAACAAGAATGGTGCTGGACAGGCTCGTGGGAGTTGTTGAGTCTTCGCATATGTTAGGTTTGCAGTGACTGGTTGAGTTTGGTGGATTTGGTCGGCCTGCAGGGAATGGTGTTCTCAGTGGAGCTGCTGGATAGAGAAGGAGGCGAGATTCGTGCAAGCTTGTTCAACGAAGCTGCGGAGCAGCACTATGATCTCATGCAGTGCGGAAGATGCTTCACGCTGTGCAACGGCAGCGTGCGCCCTGCCCAGAAGAAGTACAGCGTGCTCAAGCATGGCTACGAGCTGGTGTTCGACGGCAGATGTCAGACACACATGGTAGACGACGACACTGACATCGGAGCAGTGCGTCTCGCCGTGCAGAAGATTGCTTCAGTGACACAGATGGCTGTGCCTAGCAGCGTGGATATCTGCGGAGTCCTCGTTTCAGCGGAGCACCCTCAAGAGTTTCAGACCAAAGAAGGAAAAGCTTTAGTCAAGCGAGAGATCACTGTGGCAGACGACAGCGGCCACAGCGTGCTGATTACCTTGCGGGGTGACAGAGCCAGATTAGATAGTCGCGAGTTTGCCGGCAGCCCCGTGGTAGCCCTCAAAGGAGTTCAGGTCAAGGAGTGGATGAGCTGTCGAAGCGGCTCCATGGCAAAAGCAGGATCCATGATACTCAACCCAACCTTCTTGCCAGAGGCGCAGCGGGTAGCCGCCTGGTGGTACAAGGGAGGCAACCAGCAGAGATTGACCTACATCTCACATTCGAGCAGCCCAGCTGGTAGTCTTCGACCTCCACAAAGAGCGACCTCAGTAGAGATCTCAGCGATGTCGCAGCAGGCTGTGAGGGAGCAGCAGTCCTATACGCTCATATGTATGCCGACTTGGGTCGCTACAGCTCCGAAAAAAACCCACGAGGCGCGATGTTTTTGTTTGTTTATATTTCTAAATGTGTATATATATATATATGTATATTCATCTACATATATAAAAGAGAGAGAGAGAGAGAGAGAGAGAGAGAGAGAGAGAGAGAGAGAGAGAGAGAGAGAGAGAGAGAGAGAGAGAGAGAGAGAGAGAGAGAGAGAGAGAGAGAGAGAGAGAGAGAGAGAGAGAGAGAGAGAGAGAGAGAGAGAGAGAGAGAGAGAGAGAGAGAGAGAGAGAGAGAGAGAGAGAGAGAGAGAGAGAGAGAGAGAAAGAGAAAGAGAAAGAGAGAGAAAGAACAAAAAGCACAAATGCAGTTGGTGTGCCACACATTTGAATTGGCAGGCCATGCCTTTGTACTACATGGCCTGCCTGGAGCTGAAAGATGGCGGCAACCTGCAGTGTAACCGAAGAGTTGACGAGACCGGGTATTGTCGAATGTGCCAGAAGTCGGGGAAGGCGGGTTTGCGCGCGATCATTTTGCGTTTATGCAGTTGCGCTGCGCAGGTGGGGCCGCGGCTGAATGTGCGCTGCCGTTTTCAAGATGCTTTCGGATCATGCTGGGTCACAGTTTTTCACCCAGCTGCCGAGAAAGTGCTAGGTTCGACCGCCGAGTCCATTGTCGAACTGAGCCAGCAATCTGAGGAGATCTGTGAAGAAGCGCTCAAGGACACATACTACAACGAGATGTTCGAGCTGCAGCTGCGAGCCAAGCCGGACACGTGGGGTGGTGAAGCCAAGACAAATGTGACCTGCGTGGGAGCGCAGCGGATCTCCAGTCGAGAACATTCCCGCATGCTTTTGAAAGAGATCCACCAGCTTTTGAAGTAGAGCGGGAGTAGGGGATAGCGTTGGGGCGGCAGCCATGCTCCGCGTTGGGGCGCGGAGCGTGTCAAGCCGAAGGCTGGACGAAGGCCAAGCCGAAGGCTGGACGAAGGCTGTGCATTTTGCGACATCGAGGAAAAACATTAGCGAGCAGCGCGACAGTTTTTGCGGCAAGAAACTGAAATTACGAAACATTTTGAAACACATTTGGTCCTAACCGAATGCAGCTGAGTGCGACACGCGTCACAAATGCAACGTGTTGGCCGCTTGCGCACAGAGACGAAGGTCAAGTCGATCTCCGGAGTCCCGGCCTCGACCGGTTTCTTCGCAAGCTCCATGTCCAATTTGATCCGCTCGGATAGCAAAGGCCAATGACGAGCTGACAACTGCAAGCACAATTACGGCGCACAAGTCCACAACAAACAAACAACAATGCTGCCGCAAAAACTGTCGCGCTGCGGCTAAGACAGTTTTTGCGGCAGCATTGTTGTTTGTTTGTTGTGGACTTGTGCGCCGTAATTGTGCTTGCAGTTGTCAGCTCGTCATTGGCCTTTGCTATCCGAGCGGATCAAATTGGACATGGAGCTTGCGAAGAAACCGGTCGAGGCCGGGACTCCGGAGATCGACTTGACCTTCGTGTCTGTGCGCAAGCGGCCGACACGTTGCGTTTGTGACGCGTGTCGCACTCAGCTGCATTCGGTTAGGACCAAATGTGTTTCAAAATGTTTCGTAATTTCAGTTTCTTGAGGTCTTCGATTGCAAGGGATTGATGTCACATGTGCCACGCTCAGCTGCATTCGGTTTGGAGCAAGAGTGTTTCAAAATGCTTAGTAATTCCAGTTTCTTGGATCTTCGATTGCAAGGGGTTGATGTCACATGTGCCGCACTCAGCTGCCTTCGGTTTGCATCAGATGTCTTTCCACATGTTTGGTTATTTCAGTTTCTTCAGGTCTTCGATTGCAAGGATTGATGTCACATGTGCCGCACCCAGCTACATTCGGTTTGGACCACATGAGTTTGAAACTGTTTCGTAATAAACGCTGAGACTCCTTCCGCTCCGCTCGTGCTCCAGCGCTTGTGCGCTTGGGGCGCGAGGGACGTTGAGCGCTTGCGCGCTTCAACGGCCTGGAGCGGGAAGGGTTTCGGTTTGTTTTTCATTCTTTGTTGCAGACAGCGTCTCGGGAAAGCGATGTTTGGGTTTGCTTTGTTTCTTATGCCATTGGAGGTGCAGAGAACGATCCTCAAGGCAGATCAGGTCGAAAGCCAGATCAGACTGGACATCGAGCCTGTCGAGAAGACCCGTCGAGGCAGGGCTTTTGCAAGTCAACTTGACCATCGTCTGTGGATGCAACCGGCCAGCCGGATGCAACCGGCCAGCAGGTTGCATTTGTGACGAGTGTCACACTCAACTGCATTCGGTTTGGACCAGATGTGTTTCAAAATGTTTCGTAATTCCAGTTTTTGAGGTCTTCCTTCCATTGCAAGGGATGAAGTGACATGTGCCGCACTCAGCTGCATTCGGTTTGGACCAGATGTGTTTCGAAATGTTTCGTAATTCCAGTTTTTGAGGTCTTCCATTGCAAGGGATGAAGTGACATGTGCCGCACTCAGCTGCATTCGGTTTGGACCAGATGTGTTTCAAAATGTTTCGTAATTGCAGTTTGTGAGGTCTTCCAGTGCAAGGGATGGAAGTGACATGTGCGGCACTCAGCTGCATTCGGTTTGGACCAGATGTGTTTCAAAATGTTTCGTAATTTCAGTTTCTTGAGGTCTTCGATTGCAAGGGATTGATGTCACATGTGCAACGCTCAGCTACATTCGGTTTGGAGCAAGCGTGTTTCAAAATGTTTCGTAATTCCAGTTTCTTGGATCTGCGATTGCAAGGGGTTGATGTCACATGCGCCGCACTCAGCTGCCTTTGGTTTGCAGCAGATGTCTGTCCACATGTTTCGTTATTTCAGTTTCTTCAGGTCTTCGATTGCAAGAGATTGATGTGACATGTGCCGCACTCAGCTGCATTCGGTTTGGACCAGATGAGTTTGAAACTGCTTTCGTAATAAACGCTGAGACTCCTTCCGCTCCGCTCGTGCTCCAGCGCTTGTGCGCTTGGGGCGCGTTGAGCGCTTGTGCGCTTCAACGTCCGGGAGCGGGAAGGGTTTCGGTTTGTTTTTCATTCTTTGTTGCTGACAGCGTCTCGGGAAAGCGATGTTTGGGTTTGCTTTGTTTCTTATGAGGTGCGGAGAAAGATCCTCAAGGCAGATCAGGTCGAAGGCCAGATGAGACTAGACATCGAGCCTGTCGAGAACACCCGTCGAGGCAGGGCTTCTGCATGTCGACTTGACCATTGTCTGTGGATGCAACCGGCCAGCAGGATTCAACCGGCCAGCAGGTTGCATTTGTGACGAGTGTCACACTCAACTGCATTCGGTTTGGACCAGACGTGTTTCAAAATGTTTCGTAATTGCAGTTTTTGAGGTCTTCCAGTGCAAGGGATGGAAGTAACATGTGCCGCACTCAGCTGCATTCGATTTGGACCAGATGTGTTTCAAAATGTTTCGTAATTTCAGTTTCTTGAGGTCTTCGATTGCAAGGGATTGATGTCACATGTGCAACGCTCAGCTACATTCGGTTTGGAGCAAGCGTGTTTCAAAATGTTTCGTAATTCCAGTTTCTTGGATTGCAAGGGATTGATGTCACATGTGCAACGCTCAGCTACATTCGGTTTGGAGCAAGCGTGTTTCAAAATGTTTCGTAATTCCAGTTTCTTGGATCTGCGATTGCAAGCGGGGATTGATGTCAATGTGCCGCACTCAGCCTGCCTGTTGGTTTGCAAAAGCAGGGGGGATTGTCTGTCCACAATGTTTCGTTTTTCAGTTTCTTCAGGTCTTCGATTGCAAGAGATTGATGTCACATGTGCCGCACTCAGCTGCATTCGGTTTGGACCAGATGAGTTTGAAACTGCTTCGTAATAAACGCTGAGACTCCTTCCGCTCCGCTCGTGCTCCAGCGCTTGTGCGCTTGGGGCGCGAGGGACGTTGAGCGCTTGTGCGCTTCAACGTCCGGGAGCGGGAAGGGTTTCGAGTTTGTTTTTCATTCTTTTGTTGCTGAACGCGTCTCGGGAAAAGCCACATGTTTGGGGTTTGCTTTGTTTGTTATTGCATTGGGAGGTGAATGAGAACGTCTGAAGGCAGATTCCGGTCCGAAGCCAGATCAGACTGGAACATTCGAGCTGTCGAGAAGGGGACGCGTCGGGCAGGGCTTTCGCAAGTAACTTGACCAATCGTCTGTGGACCGCAACCGGCCGCAGGATGCAAACCGGCCAGCAGGTTGCACTTGTGACGAGTGTTGACACTCAACTTGCATTCGGATTGGACCAGCTGTGTTTCAAAATGTTTCGTAATTGCAGTTTTTGAGGTCTTCCAGTGCAAGGGATGGAAGTGACATGTGCCGCACTCAGCTGCATTCGGTTTGGACCAGAGGTGTTTCAAAATGTTTCGTAATTTCAGTTTCTTGAGGTCTTCGATTGCAAGGGATTGATGTCACATGTGCAACGCTCAGCTACATTCGGTTTGGAGCAAGCGTGTTTCAAAATGTTTCGTAATTCCAGTTTCTTGGATCTGCGATTGCAAGGGGTTGATGTCACATGTGCCGCCTTTGGTTTGCAGCAGATGTCTGTCCACATGTTTCGTTATTTCAGTTTCTTCAGGTCTTCGATTGCGAGAGATTGATGTCACATGTGCCGCACTCAGCTGCATTCGGTTTGGACCAGATGAGTTTGAAACTTCTTCGTAATAAACGCTGAGACTCCTTCCGCTCCGCTCGTGCTCCAGCGCTTGTGCGCTTGGGGCGCGAGGGACGTTGAGCGCTTGTGCGCTTCAACGTCCGGGAGCGGGAAGGGTTTCGGTTTGTTTTTCATTCTTTGTTGCTGACAGCGTCTCGGGAAAGCGATGTTTGGGTTTGCTTTGTTTCTTATGAGGTGCAGAGAAAGATCCTCAAGGCAGATCAGGTCGAAGGCCAGATCAGACTAGACATCGAGCCTGTCGAGAACACCCGTCGAGGCAGGGCTTCTGCATGTCAACTTGACCATCGTCTGTGGATGCAACCGGCCAGCAGGATTCAACCGGCCAGCAGGTTGCATTTGTGACGAGTGTCACACTCAACTGCATTCGGTTTGGACCAGATGTGTTTCAACATGTTTCGTAATTGCAGTTTTTGAGGTCTTCCAGTGCAAGGGATGGAAGTGACATGTGCCGCACTCAGCTGCATTCGGTTTGGACCAGATGTGTTTCAAAATGTTTCGTAATTTCAGTTTCTTGAGGTCTTCGATTGCAAGGGATTGATGTCACATGTGCCACGCTCAGCTGCAGTCGGTTTGGAGCAAGCGTGTTTCAAAATGTTTCGTAATTCCAGTTTCTTGGATCTTCGATTGCAAGGGGTTGATGTCACATGTGCCGCACTCAGCTGCCTTCGGCTTGCAGCAGATGTCTGTCCACATGTTTCGTTATTTCAGTCTCTTGAGGTCTTCGATTGCAAGGGATTGATGTCACATGTGCCGCACTCAGCTGCATTCGGTTTGGACCAGATGTGTTTCAAAATGTTTCGTAATTCCAGTTTTTGAGGTCTTCCATTGCAAGGGATTGATGTCACATGTGCCACACTCAGCTGCATACGGATTGGACCAGATGTGTTTCAAAATGTTTCGTAATTTTTTTTTGCAGCTTCTTGAGGTCTTCGACTGCAAGGGAATCATGTCACATGTGCCACGCTCAGCTGCATTCGGTTCGGACCTTGTGTTTCAACATGTTTCGTACTTCCAGTTTCTTGAGGTCTTCGATTGCAAGGGATTGATGTCACATGTGTCGCGCTCAGTTGCTTTCGGTTTGCGCCAGATGTCTATTGGCGGCGTGTTAAAAAAACAAAAAAGCGCCTTGCATTTTCCGCCAAATCCGTTTCCAGTTTCTTCTACAAATGATTGATGTCACATGCGCCACACTCAACTCCATGGT